TCAGTCAATTTCAAAAATCATGAGTTATTCACACACATACACACTAACACCGAACTGTCACATCCAGATAGCGCATATCAATGTAATCGACACTGTCACACATGGCTGTTTTAAACCATATGTGTCGATTGTCGCTGACTGTACTTAAACATATTTTTATATATGACTGTTGGTATTTGATGAATGAACATTCCACTTAGAGGTCAATGAACTGAAGTGGTAATTACTAATTATATTCGGTAATGACATGAGTTTTGCGTTGGTCGTGATGGTTATTTTTGATTCTTATTGGATATCTATTTTTTTATCAGTTGAGCTGCAAACGAGCAGACTTTTTGTCTAATCGATCGTCTTTTTTTTTTTTTCAACTTTGCCCCATACTAGAATTTTGTCCTATGTCGTTTCACACAAACGTTCATGTTGATTCATGCGAAAGTCGAACCCGCGACACGTTGCGAAGCATCCAGTTGCCGAGCCACTGCGCCAACCGTGCAGTTTGAATTTCTCAAACCTCAATTTACAAATATAAAGAGAAGCACTTCTTCTTAAAAGAACAAGGACACCTAGGATATACATAGTTTAATAAATATTATATTAGTATAGGAAAACTATGCTAGAATGGGCTGGCACAACATGGTGTCACAGAAGACCAGCATGAAACAACACAAGACTTTTTGTTTCTGTTAATAAAAAACGTTGCCCCATATGCACATGACACCCAGAGCCGGAACAACAATTTGTGGGTCACACAAAGAATTGTTCCGTGCGGGAATCGAACCCGCGGCAGCCAGTTGCCCAGCCACCGCACCAACCGTGCAGTCAGTCGCGTGCAGACTTGTTTAACGCTATATGAGTGAGGTTACTGGAGGTCCGAACTTCCCTTTCCCCATCCACAATCCTCAAACCTCAGAACCCTATTCCCTAAAGTCCGCAAACGAACTTGTACTTCATCTTATGAAGCGGGTATTCGTGGACCGCGCCATTTGCTTAAAATCAGGTGGTCCGTTTGCCTAGAAAAAGAAAAATAATAATATATGTAATACACAGATTCATAATTAACGGATTACACATTTTGTTATGCATATTATAATTCGTAGGGTAACTATAAGGTGAAATGGCTTATATTAGTATATACCTACGAGTAGCTTAAGATATTACAAATTATGTAGCTATATAGTTTTTAGAACCCATAATTTTGACACGCTATGAATGTTAAGATCATTATTATGATTTTAAATGAGGATTAGTTTTCATTACCTTTATAATAAATGTTAAATGGATCTCCGAAATATTTATACGGATTAGTATTTTAATCTTAAGTTATGTACGAACTTTTATTTTAAGAGGTAATAATAAAAACGTCGCGGTGGCCATTAAGCCATCAACCAAATTTCAAAAAAAAAAAAAAACAAATGAAGGAGCGGATTCCAATCCTAGTAACCACCACCAACACGAATGTGTTTCATCAACATCATCATCATCATCATCAGCCTATAAGTGCCCACTGCTGAGCAAAGGCTTCTTCTCATACGGAGAAGGTTAGAACATTAATCACCACGCTTGCTCAATGCGGGTTGGCAATTTCAAACTTATAATTAGAATTATAAGTAGAAAAAAACCTAAAACTTATAAATAGGAATTATAAGTCCAGGTTTCCTCACGATGTTTACCTTCACCGTATGTCAGTGGTGTCTAAATAATCATAGATTTCAAATTTCTTACACGTAATAGATTTGAGCACCTACAGTCACGCGTGCTTAAGTCAGAATGGCGATTTCAAACTTATAATAAGAAATTATAAGACCGGGTTTCCCGTCATTCAAAAACTAATGTCAACTAAACTGACATACATTTGAATAGTTTTGAATTATAAAAATTCCGGACCAGGATTTTGTTCCAAAAATCTTCCTTGTTTTAATTAAAAAATATTGAAGAGGTATGTAGGGAGCCATGCTTTGGGATGAATGGGATAGCTCGACCGGAATGATAGTACAGCTTCACAGAAAACCAGCTGAAACAACGGCTGTGTTATGATATGCCGAGTGAGTGAGGTTACCGGAGACACAATCCTTCCCCGCCCCCAATTCCGACATCGCTAAAGCCCCTTATCCTCGAAAGGCCAGCCAACGCACTTGGAACTAATTTGGTATAACCTGTCTCCATTGGAGCAGCGAAGATTGCTTACCATCAGCGATCCGTCTGCTTGTATACCACCCTATGTCATAAAAGGGCAATAATCTTGAAAACACCACAACCAATTAAATCTTAGTAGGTCAGTTTCTGGTTTCCTAAGAAAATTATAAATGTGGTGCCTTTTTTTAATGACAACATTTTATTTAATGAAAATACAATAAGATTTCAACACTATAAAAGCATTATACTAATTACGTCTAAAATATTTCAGAAAAAAATATATTTATACAAAAAATATGGAAAAAACAAATAGATGATATCAATCGTATCATTTACAATCGGCATTTTACTTTACTTAGAATTATTTCTTTACAATTCCATCCCATTATGTGGTCGTCTAATTAGTTCTCGGAAAGGGAATACACAATAAAGAAGTTTTTCAGATATTTGTTTGTGTGGAAAATAACATTTTATTTATTATTTCTTTACAATATAAAATGACACGTTTTCCTTTCAACAAGTTTATGTTGTATATTATGTACTTATGCCTTTTCGGTCAATTCCACGCGTGCGAAAAAAATAAATAACCGGAGAATTTTGGCTCGCCTCCCGAATTTGTATATATGTATATTTTTATTTTATTTCATTGTTTCTGGTTTACTAGCTGTTGTATATACGGCCTTTGTATAGCAAAAATTCTGATATCTGTGTTACAATTTCTTATAGGTTGGCACGTCATGTCCCCACATAGCATTACATAATCAAAGAAAAAAATAAAAAGCAGGATTAAAATTTTAATGTAAATCCTAAAATACAATTAATATATTTTATAATGTTACATTTTTAAATACTTACTCATATTTCTTATACATTTTTAGAACAATTTTAAGTTGTAGGTCACAGATCAACTCAAAAACAAAACGCCAAAAAAATACTGGAAATATTTCAAAAAACGAATATCGTTACATAAATTTGTCATCCTATACACATAACACATTGACAGTAATAATAAAATATAAATAAAAATTGCCGATCAAAATGCAATAATTTATAATAGAATTACTCAAAAATTATATAAAGCTACAGGGGGTACCTAATAGGTGATCTTTTGAATTTTTAACACCCATGTCAGTTGGGACCGAATTATTTTGAATAGCGACAGTGTTGACCAACATTTCCTTTGAATTAAAGAATAATAACTAACTAACAATTTATCATTATGCTCGTTTATTTATATAAAGATAGGCAGAAGACAATAGAGATTTAGTCACATAAATATCTACTGTTTCATTGTTCGAGTAGCCCTATAAGACTGTTGTGTTAGGGATTCGATTACTGGATCGGGTTTTTTTTTATGCTATAGGTCGGCAAACGAGCAGACGGATTACCTGATGGTAAGCAATCAGCGCCGCCCATGGAAACTCGCAACGGAGAAGTTACGAGTGCGTTGCCGACCTTTTAGGGATTAGGGATTTGGAGATTTAGGGATTGAGGAGGGATTGGGGAAGGGGAAGGATTGGGCCTCCGATAACATCACTCACACGGCGAAACAAACAAACAAACGCAGTGGTTATTTCACGCCGGTTTTCTGTGAGGCCGTGGTATCACTCCGGTCGAGCCGACCCATTCGGCTCTCCCACACTTAAATAGGGGTAAAGAAAGGGTAAAGAATTATTAATATTTTTTTGCCTTGTTTAGCACGAAGTATGGTATTCTGGCCTGGGTATATTGTTATGAGGCATTATCAGTCAAATTATGTGCAAATTATTGCCTTTCCTAGAAAAAAGTTTCTTTTTAAACTAGTCTTGAATAATAAAACATTAAGTATTTTCTCTTCTTTTGTTCCCCAAAAATAACAGTGGGAACTGAGCATTCGACAGACATATCCAGCTACTTGAAATAACATGACAACAGCCCATTGAACTACAATAAGTTGTATCTTTAATGGATTAAAAATCTAAATTTGATAACAATAAAGTCTACATTCCAATCAATATGGTGGCGTCTAAATAATAAATCGAAATAACAAATTAAATTACTATAATGCCTAAACGGGTATACAAACATTTTAAGAATCCATGTAAATTTATTACGCACTTATGCAAATCAAACTTAAAACGGGCACAATTAAATAAATTAAAAAATAATTAATAGTTCGACCACATTAACTTGATCGTTTCGATAGAAAATGGCGTATAGAGATAAAATTACATATTTTTTTAGGTTGTCTACCTATTTTCTGTATTGGTCGTAATCATCTCAGATTCTATTTATCGATTATTAAGTAGAATTTAATAATTTATTTATTACTAGCCTTTGCTCCGTTCACGTTTAATAGTGATTTCCTGCAGATTCTTGGTATAAAAACTATTATATAATATATGGATATATGATAGTCTCGAGTTCCAAACTACGTCTTTACCAAATTTCACAGAAATCGGTTCAGTAGTTTAGGCGTGAAGAAAAGACAGATAGACAGACAGAGTTAGTTTCGCATTTATAATATTAGTTTGGATTCGTGTACAACAACACATCGGAAGACTTAGTGCTAAAAGTATTTTCTGGTAGTCAATCAGTCAGTCAGTTAGTCAGCCTTTAAACAGTTATTCATAGAATAAGGAAAGAGAGGATCTCCTGAAAGAAAACTTGGTCTATCTGACCATTTATTACAGGTTTACAATAATACCTATGTTAATGTTTTTTACTTCAATTTTAAAAAGCTTGGAAGTCTAACGCAACATAAGTAAGCAAGTAGTAACTTCTTTAAAATAAGCCAAGGCCAAAGCCAAGGCTACTAAAATATTATACATATACTTAATAAGTTTCACACAAATATAACTAATAGACATTCTCCGTTTTTGTTTCAGATAAGATGTTAAACCAAAGTTCCTGAAAAATCAACACAAATGTACAGAAAAACGGATATCAGTCATCAATATGCTCCACACATATAAATATGGCGGTACAATACAAAGAGACATTTGAAAACGGAACGCCATTAATATCCTTGCGCGTGCGCAGGGCTGATTCCAAATTCAAATATAGCACGGAAAGGCGCCGGAAATGGGCTCGGCCGGATGTCGGCGTTTGCTTCCTGTCGTTCTTCGTTTTGATTGTCGGTTGCCATGGTTACCAAGAACAGAGATTTGCCATGGAACCACAAGATCAGGTCAGTTTTTTTAGTTATAAGGTTTTTCTGGGTAATATTTAATATATTTGTTTATACCACTTATTTATAGACTACGTTATTTGTTGTTTAAAAGGGGTATTAGGTAAAACGTTTATGCATACTATCAGTATATCTAAAGATAAAACCCCAAAAATATATTTCTATACGCAACAAAAACAAATGCCTGTCGATTAAAATATATTATATTTGAATTTAAATAAATTAATAATCAATAACATTATTTCACGCATTTTTGTAAAAAAATAAATTCTTAACATTTGTAAACATGCTGTATAAATGTCGTTAATATTTGCGGTAAAACAAATCAAAGCGTGTTCTTAAATCGCGCGTACGGTTCGTGATTCTGATAAGGAATTAATTTATTAGTAAACACATTTTAATTATTAATTTAAATTAGCAACTACTTGGTATACCTAGCCATATATATATTCTTTCATTCGATGTCATGGAACATTACACTTCGACATAAATTAATTATAATATTTGATAGTAAAATTACCTCTTTTTGTATGAAGAATTAAACTGTTAAATGTTGCTCATAAACTTTAAATATCAAAAATTAAAATTGAGATACGAGAGTCAACAAAATTACTTCCACATTTTTTTGAGTTTCGTCGGCGTATGAGCACTGGGCAGTCGTGGCATCTGATGGTAAGCAATAAGCGCCGGCCACAGTAATCTATCTGCTCGCTAGCCTATCAGTAACTTAAAAGAAGAATAATGCAGAGAAAAATACAACGCGTTGTAAGACTTCCTCCATTTTAAGTGAGTTATAAATTATACCCATGAAAATATAACTAAACTAGCGACTTATTCCTGCTTCCGACAGGTCTTTAACTACTTCACTAACGACAAAAGGGTAGGTACCGACTAGCCAACTCATCCCTCGACTTTTCTAAAAAAAACTTTCATAAGAACTTCCTCGTGACAATAACAAACACAACAAAAAAATAATTGTCAAAATTGGTACGGACATTTTGCGATTCATATTTATATAATGTAGATTAAACACGTTAAGCTCATAAATTTAAAATACACACTTACTTATAGGTAATTAAAAAACAACAGTACATAGAAGTATCCATTTAAATCAATAAACATAAAAATAAAAAGTGCAATAAAACAGCTTTTTACTTAAAATGTATATCGCTATTAAAAAATAATTAAAAAGTTAACATAATCAGCCATCTTTTTTTAATTACTTTTACGACATATACGCGCTAATCTTAAAAGCCAAGAATAAAATAATAAAATATTAAATGATGTGTGATTTTTTTTGGTGTTTCGTATATGTACCGAATATTTTAAATGTATTATTATTCAATATTTATTCAATACAAGCTTCCATGCGTGGCTTCGTACGCGTAAAGGAGAAAGAAATGTATACAATTATTTAAAAAAAACAGCGTTTAAAGCGACTTTTTAAATAAAATATGCAAATCAATGCTCGACTAAAATAGGAATGTTGGAAACCCGACCAGCGATTCCAAAGATTATCTCCTACATACAAACTCACAACTTTAACCTCTTTTTAATATTAGTATTATAGATAAAATTAATAACTTCGGTTAACGTAGAGAAGGAATGGTAGTTGCATTAAAGAAGAAAGTTTGATTACGAAATGCTACTTAAATACATAAGGTATTTAAATTGTATTACGAAATCAAACTTTCTTATCTATGTATATTGTTATCTATATATATCGTTCCTTATCTACAAACATTAGTAGGTATTATATAGATATAAAAATAAAGTTTATTAATAAATAAAAACTTATTTGTAATCAAAACTTTTTTCATTTATTTTTATCTCTAAAACATTTACATATATATAAAAGTTTTTTGATTCTACACGCTTTATGAAAACAATAATAAATAATTCATTAATTTGTGCACTATACAACAAAGAAAACAAATTTAAAAGTTCGACAAATATGACCTGCCTACTGGTATATCAGTCTGCTAAGCCTGTGGGCTATGTCGACCACCATAAAAATAATATAAGTAACATTAAAAACTTTCGCTTCATAGTTACACCAAGCCATTTAACCAATTTCGTTAAAGTAATCAAATAATAAGGGCAAACTAATTAAAATAAAACCACGGTTTTACATTAACCGAACACGGTTAATCTCCAGTGACCTCATATTACAGTCAAAAAAAGATAACTCGGTAATTTTTAATTAATAGTTAAAACGACAGGGTGACACCTAAAAAAAACGTTTACGACTACTTTACGAGTTTTCGGTTATCAATTTTTGCTTTTTATAATGAATATTAAAGGTATATAATTAATATAAAAGTTAACCTAAATATTTCTTAATTTCGTATGGGGAACTGTAAGTCAAATGTTGTTTCAATAACTACAACAAATCAAGTTGTTGAGTTGAATACCTTTTTAATTTATTAAGTGTGAAAACGCCATGCTTCGGCACGAATAGGTCGGCGCGACCGGATTGATGCTACGTCCTCATAGAAAACCGGCGTGAAATAATCACAGCGTTGTGTTTCGCCGTGTGATTGAGATTACCTGAGGCCCAATCCTTCCCGTCTCCCAATCCCAAAATCCCCAAGTCTCAAATCCCTAAAATATCGGCAACGCACTCGTAACTTATCCATTATTGCGGGTGTCCATGGGCGGCGCTGATTGCCGATTGCTTTCCATCAGGTAATCCGTTTGCTCGTTTGCCGACGTATAAGATAAAAAAAACATAATTGACCATACCTGGAATTCTAGGGGTCACAAATGGGGACACCCGAGAAGTTGCGAGTGCGTTGCATACCTTTTGTGGAGTGCGTTGCATACCTTTTGTGGATTAGAAATTTTAGGATTGTGGACTTGCGACAAGTTAGACCGAAACATAACACAGTGGTTATATTTCCTAGCGGCTTTTTTAATAGAAAACTCAATAGTTTCATTAACGTTAACCGTATGTCAAGACTCGTATTCAAATTAATTAAAAACTCTCGTTATATCAACAAAAGAATAATAACTATAAATCTTCCTCGCCATTTAATCAGGCCATACTAAACAGAATAAATTAATAAATCAGTGTGTTTTAGTAATAAAATATGTATATATGCGAGTTGGATCCATCCACTGTGGATTCCGTACGTACATACGTATTTCCAAATAGTGAGCTTTTGGTGTGATTTTGTTGAGATTTAAACTTCAAGAGTAAATCGTGGTTAATAATGGGGCCATGTAGATCCGAGTGTGTCAAGTTAAATTTTTTACTCTTGTAACCACACCTACTTTTGTGGATAATGAGGTTTTCTGAAATACTAGCGAACCGTCATGCAATCTACCTTACACACACGGCGTGTGAGTGAGGTTACCGAACGCCCAAACCTTCCCCTGCCCACATTCCTCCCCAATCCCTAAATCTCCAAATCCTTAGTTCCCAAAGTGTCGGCAACGCACTCGTAACTCCTCCGTTGCGGGCGTTGCATGGGCGGCGCTGATTACTTACCATCAGGTAATCCGTCTGCTTGTTTGCCGATCTATTACATAAAAAAATACAAAAGAAACAAAATCCAATACAAATCATAGAAAACTTACATACTAATTATAAAATAAAATTGTAGATATAAACTTTCCTACCGTCATAGTTATTTTATATGCGGTCCGAGTGAATTCATTTATAGTGCAGTGAAACAAATCTAATTAATAATAATAAAAAAAGAATATCAGGCTGCTAATAAGCCATAATATTATGTGTTATATTTTTTTCCATCTTCTGTCTTTCATGAGTTTGCAGCATTTTATTAATCTCTCATCAACTGCTGAACATAATTGTGAAACATTAACAACTAAATCTTATATCTTCATTATATAACATAATATTAAAATTACAGACATTATAAAATAATTTGAAATTTTTATATTTAAAAAAAAATAATCGCGTATGGCACATCGTTAGCATTGTCAAAAATGTCTGGCAATAAAAAAAGTTTGTCAGGTAGACTTATTTAAAAAGAAAAAATAAAAATTACGCCTTCTAAAATGTTTTTAAAATCCAGGATTATTACCTGGACAGGTAGGATGCGCAGTAATGAACGCAACCGCTACCGCCAGCCAGATAGCCCAGACTTTAACCGAAAGTGCAAGAAGGACAAGATGTCACAAAATCAGCTGACCTAAAATTCTTTCTCGAAAACGTTGCTAGCTCCTATACTATTACGTATAAATAAATATCTTGAGGAACCCAAAAAATCTATTAAATATTTTATTGTAATTATGGAGACGCCTGTCCCTAAATCAATTCTTCATGAATATGTATTAAAAAGATTAGCGGAATCTTGATATACAAACATACTTACATAATGAGAGGATTATGATTTTTGAACCGAAATGTGCTTGTAAAGAAGATATAACAGATTTTGAATTGTTTAAATGTTTTGTACATTTTTGGAGGTGGTTCAAGTTAGAGGCGATTGGTGAATGTTATTTTTGATAACGTTATTGTATTATTTTTATATTATGTGAGTTCTATGTTATGTTAGTATCTGTAAATATAGGTTATGGCTGGCTAACTAATATACTGAAAGTAGCTTTGCATTGATGAAAGAATAAATGAAATTGGCTCAGTAGTTTTTGAGTATATTTATTACAAACTCACACATACCTTCATGAACTCACAACAATATTATAATAAAAAATTGTTCGTGCTTATTCCTGATTCTGAAAACATATTTTCTGTATTTTAACAATAATTATGGTTTAGGGCTTTGTCCACCCAAACACGGTACCATGGAGTTTTTAACCGCTTTACATTTGATGCTTGTATTCTATTATAACAAAAAAACCTAGTGAAAAACTTAAAATCTGTTATAGATTTAACGAGACCAAAAAACTAAAAAAAGAAACAAATCTTAGTAATATTTTAAGTCTTCTCAGTTCTATTCCCTGTGTGGAATTATACAGCAACTAGTCCACTAAGAAACAATTTTCAGTTAAAATCATAATCAAAAAAATTG